ATAACTGAAGACCCTTGTCTGTGGGGTGGGGGTGGGGGGGGGGGGGGGGGGTAAGAAATAGAAATGAAATGGGAAGAGTTTCAAGAGTCTCGTTATCTTCAAGTTGTCGTAATTTAAGTTTTTGGGGGTTTATTTTGTCTTATTGTTGTTGTTGTTGCTGTTTTGTTGTTGTTGTTGTTGTTGTTGTTGTTGTTGTTGTTGTTGTTGTTGTTGTTGTTGTTCTCGCAAATGTCAAAACATGCAGTATCAGATTAGTGGGCTTTCGTGATCTCGAAGTTGTGGTGTTCGCCTCCCATTCAACTGGTTCCGGGTCGAAACCTTACAGCGACGGAAATTTTCTTCTCTAAATGTTCTCCTTTCACCTCTTTTCCTGCTCTTTAACTATATTCGTCCTTATGTGAGAGGTGTAACTCTCAGGAAATTGAAGATGGATTTCACTTTATTTTCTATTGTTCACACTTTGTCCATCAAAGGAAATTGTTAATCCCTCCCAGCCTGACTCGGCCCAGTAACAGAAATATGCAATGTTTGACTCATGATAAAAGATATGTGCATAACCTGTACTTATTCATTATGGAAACGTTACTTATAAAAATGAGTGCTTTATATGATGTGATGTGGGCCAATGGCCTTAAACACTGAATAAACTTACATGCTTACTTAACCATATTCTCTTGTCTGCTTTCTACTCCACTTTCTATCCTCATCCCCACCCCCACCCTCTTTGCCCCTCATCTGGTCTCCTGACTCTTTTTGCTGCCATTCTACTGCTACTCCTTGGCTCCTTCTTACTGCTGTCTTTCAGCCACACCTCTGATCTTAGGGTAGGTAAAATTTAACCCCTGGCCTTCTCAGATAAAGGCAAAAAATTTCGGACGTCTCATGTACAATTTGCGCACGTTTAAGATCCTTGGTTCTTCAAAATTGATAAAAATAGGCTTCAGCCGCCACCCCGGCATAATTTAAAATTAATTCCAACCAAACTGAAAACGTTTAATGTATCCCAAGCGCTCACATGACCTTATGCTGTTGCGAGCACCGTAAAACACATTTTTTTTAAAAACAGTCTCCGATTCTGAAATCGAGAGGAGTTTTTAAGGAGAACTAGCGTCTTGCCTTTCAACCTCGACCTCCCACCCACCCCAATACTCGGAAACAACAGTTTATCAGTTACCCCCACACTAAACATGGTGTTGAAACTCAACCTATTAAACACCTCAAAGAGTATAATATGTAGGCCTTTATGGCGAGTGGGCTTCGATAACACTTTCATTCTAGAAGGGAGCAGATAGAACAGTCGTAACGCTGGACTATAGAAGAAACCACCAACTGTTCCGATATTCACGAAAAGTTCAACAACATGTATAATATTTGAAAGGTGCAAAGGGTAAATAAGTGCTGTCATTGTTTGGATAATAGTATTCTGAGTTTTGGAGTCGGATAGAAAGTGTCTATTCTCTTCTTCTGTCCAATCTATAATATTTTCAGTGGTAAATCGTGGCGAATCACCCGACCTTGGTTTTTTTTTTCTCTCAAAATGCGGAAAAGAAACATCACGTGTTTTGGCCTTGCACCATAATATGCAAGCCTGTGTTTTCACACGATATTTTCATTGTTACACCCCCTCCCCCCCTTTTTTTAAAAAATAATTTTTGTTTATGTTTTGTTTTTCTCGGTGTCTTATTACTCTCCGGAATCTTTGCCCACTTGCAGGTTCCTCTTAGTACATATTTGCCACAATATTGTGGTTACGGAAATACGTTTTCGTAATTCCAGTTTTGATTAATTAATTTGTTATGTTAGTAGGCCTACTGTAGGAGTTGCAGATTTGAAGAATAAAAAGTAAGACAGACAAGAGATGAGGGCAGGTGAAAAGGGGCAGGGGAGGGGGGGGTGGGATCCCTTTCCGTCCTTCAAGTCCTGCCTTTGACACTTCTTCTTTGGTTAGATAAGACGAAAGATAATATATTTTTATGGACATGCCACAGCAGCTTGGTAAATAAATATCTCGCATGCCTCAGATCCTTAGATTTTGGCCGTGTTATGCAAATGAATAGAATGGTTTTAAATCCCAACCGCCCCTATATCTAAAACCGTTCCATTCATTTGCTTAAAAGGCCTAAATCTAAGGCATGCGATATAATTTACCAAGCTGTTCTGGCATTTTAATACTTTAAAAAATGTCGTTCCCACAGCCCCTAAGTGCTCATATGACCTTATGCAGTTGCGAGCGCTGTAAAACCCTTACAATACTTAACCCCAGCCCTTTGGGCGACCACAAATTGCTCTCACGTCGCTTGAATTTTTTTTCTTTAATACAGTGCACAGTGCACACTACCAGCCGAATTCATTTGATTTTGTCGGGGCCAGCCAATTTTTTTTTTCGTGGATGGGGCAAAAGTTACAATTTTGGCACAGCTCGAGCGAATTCGTCTAAATCCGACTGTGACCTTCATAATCAAACGAGTTTTGTTTTCATTGTCACTAGTTGAATCGGTCGGATAGAGTCAAAATGGTAGGTTCTCCCCATCCAAGAAAGAAAATATTATTGCTGGCCCTAACTCTGTTCAATAAATCCTTTTGACAGTGTGCACTGGTTATAAGGCCGAACGAGTCATAGATGTACGAGATAGGTGTCCTTGTCTCTCTCGTTCGTTGTCCCCCGGCTCTTTTCGAAGAGTGATCGTATTTCCATGCCCTGCGTACTTGATTTCTCTTCAAGGTTGTACAATGACGGTGCCGTTTGTGTTTTGGAAGTCGGCCGAGAAAGAACGAGGCCATGACCCGTTGTTAGGTCAAGGTCGTGTTGAACACACGCCGTTTTCAAAATGACTTTATCAACCAACGGCCGCGGAAGAACGGTGACTTAATAAAGGTGTGTCGAGGAGAAAGTTTCAGAATCCATTTTAGTAAAAATTCTAGATCTAGTACCAAGCAAACAGGTGCGTGTGTTCGCTAATTCGTGTATTTATTTTTAAAAATTTATTTATTTATTTATTTATGTAAACATTTTAAAATAGTTTCATTTTAGTGTATTTATTTATATTCATTATGGGTTTGTTGTTTTTTTGTGTTGTTTTTTGTGGGGGGGGGGGTTGTTTTTTTTTTGGGGGGGGGGGGGTTATTTTGCTCGAGTTTTTTAATTTTTTTATTAATATGTTGCAAGCACTAAAGCGGTTTCGCAGTTCTTCCATTACCTTTACTTTTCCGCGGTGTTTGACATGGCAGGACAAAATTCAAGCAAAGATAGTACAGCCTACGGTAGTATCGTTGATTGAAGCAGGATAATGTACACGCCTCTCAACACTAATATAATGCAGACCATGTATTATTAACAACCTTTTCTTTAATAGGAGGACGATAAGAAATGATTTTTAAAATTATCCAATAACATTAAAATTTGTAGACAAACAATATCGACACCTTGTCCTCTGCACAGTGGTCAAAAGTCTTAATACAGGGTGATCCGAAAAAAACTTAATAATTTTTTTTCTGGATATCTCGCAAAGAAATTTGTACTAGAATGTTGTAATTTGGAACAGATATAATTCATTCAAAGGGAATTTGTTTGACATAAAAATAACCCAGAAGAAACTAGTTTTGAAAAACTGTAAATGGCTTTTATAAAAACCACATATAAATGCAAAATGCACCAATTTAAAAGATCTTGTAAGAAAAGTAAAAAAACAATTGGTTTGTTATTTCCTTTCCTTTTACTTATAAAATCTAATCTTTCCATTCCTGTAACCTTGAAAGAATATTTCTTTTCTCCTACAGAGTTTAAAAAACATATGTTTTAAGTTCTAGAATTTCGAGAACCCATGGTCGATATGTCCTCCTTTGGACTCGACACATTTTAACGCGTCGTTCATAATGTTCAGTGGAGGCCAAACACAAGGATCCACTCAACCGTGAATACTCAAAGCCACACACACTGTACACCTTACAGTATGGAGCTGTTTAGACAGCATTTGTGGAATTGATATAACTTAAAAGGTGAATATGGGCTTTGCAAAGGAACCAAATGTCATAGAACAATTAATTTTCACGCTTTTCAAGACGATCGAGGAATCATGAACACATTACTATCCTCTGATAGCTTCGCGAACGGGAAAATGAGACAGTCGTAGATGAAGATCTGCCTTTAGAATACGGACCTTTGAGATGTAGGAAAGTCATTGGTGCAGACATCGCCTACGGACAGGCGCCTCATAGGACTCATCTACTGAATTTTGCACCCTGGTGGCGTTTAAAAGGGTGTAAACGGTGTGTGTTTGAACTGAAATTGCCGTTGTGTTTGGGAAATTTTAGTTCTTATTCTCTACAGGTCCCAACTGATGGACCATTTTCCCCCTTGACATCAAAGAAGTCCTTAAGGGCACTCTAACTTTACTTCTGTGCCTTGTGCAAAACTTACGAAATGAGTTGGTGTTGAGGAAATGTTCAATACAAACGGCTCTCTGCTCTTCACTAATCTTAACCATGATCTCATCAGGCAAAGGAAACTTGAGAAAGACTATCTGCAAACTTCTGTTGGCCTGTTAGACTACTGTAGCTTGCAACATGGCGCAATCGTTAGGATTTTTAGTGGTTGGCCTAATGCGAACTAGTGCGTCACGTTATAAAAATGGGGACATAGCTGAAAATGGGTTGTATTTTTACGCGCTATGTAGAGAAATATTATTCTGTGGATTTATCTAAAATGAATATCAAGCAAATTCCTTTTGACTTCCAAATGTTATGTTGCAAAACTTCAATGTGGAGGAAAATATTAACAAAACAAGTTGTAAAGTTTTTTTGGGGGGATCACCCTGTAGTTTAAGTTTCGGAATGTCATCAGGCAAGGACAATTCTGAAGGAGGCTAAACCTTTTCGTTGTCCGGTCATGAGCATTATGTTTGAAAACTCCCCCCCCCCCCTTTTCTTTAGGAGGAGTAGAGATGACGTTAATAATCATTAACTAGAATTCAACAAACGAAAGGAATATTGAATGTTTATATCTATTCACTGCACAAAACAAATGGTATTTTTAAATACCAGAGATGCTCTTTTACTCCAATGCCTGCTTTTAAATTCTGCTTTTGAACCTCAACAAATATTGAGTCTGGCATTGAAGTGGTTAAAACCGAACCAAATAATTTACAATCGGATCTCTGAGACAAGGTTTGGGCACAAAATCAGTTAGACCAACAAGGAACAAAACCAAACACAATTGAGTGTTTTTCTTTGTGAACTATAAAACGCTTATTGCCAAACTTGCAAGTTTAGGCTCAGTAAATGTGGTGACAGTAATATGTGTCAGGACGCGGTGGAATCAGATGCTCGCCAATTTTTTGTCATATGGAATTATTGATATCATCTTAACTTTCCACGAAAAGATATGTCAAAACACCAGGAAGATGAGGAATTACAGTAACGATTTCAAACCTCCTTTGCACTAAATAACAAAAAGAGTGCATACGATTAGAGTTTATTTTACATGTGTCTGATAGTGGCCTTGGGTCGCATCTATACATGTATGATTATGATCTATGAACAAAATGTAACGACGCAAATCTAGATTTTTAAAATTATTATAACCTTCTTTTTTGTTTGCCTTCTTGTCTTATTTTAGGGGGTGTCGGTAGCCTAGTGGTTAGGCTACCGAACGTGTTAGGGGATTCGAGCCTCAGCTTGGTCCGTCGTTGTATGTGTCATTTGGAAAGACACTTTACACGAATTAACCAATTCACTCAGTCCTTTCAGAGATGGACATTAAACTCTGAGGTCCCGCCTCTGAAATAACGTAATGGTGTTGATAGGGGCGTTAGACCTATACCATGTTCCTCTCACTTTCTTTCAGGAAAAAAAAACCGCGAGAAAATGTCGGCGACAGAAAACGTATTCGGTGATCTGGCCAAGAAGTACAAAATCCACCCAGAGTCGGAAGCTGTTGCCAAACTTATCAGTGAAGGCGGCGTGAGGTTTTACGACCTTGACCTCAATGGAACCCGGAAGCAGTTCGAGGCGATGTGCGAGCCGGAGAAACGGGACGACTTCGACGGCACCATCGAGGAGCTCCTGGTTCCAAGAGACAGCACCGGGGGCGTGCCAGTGACGGTGTTCAAATCCAGCTCCGCGCCGGCTGACCCTTTGATCCTCATCCACCTTCACGGCGGAGGCCTGGTCGCGGGCAGCCGCGCTTCCTATGACCACATAGCTCGTCACGCCGCCGATCTAACGTCCAGTGTTGTGGTCAACGTGGAGTACAGACGTATGCCGGGTGGTGACGGAGAGGGGCTCTTGCCGTCCTTCGACGACTGCACGACTGTCGCGCGATGGGTGCTGGACAACCGCGAGAAGGTCGGGGGCACTCCGGCCAGCAAAGTGGGCCTGATCGGCGACAGCGCTGGGGGACAGCTCGTATGCTCTGTCACAAACGACATCGCTGAAGGGTTCAGCTTCCAGGTAAAGAGCACGCACGCATCCATGCATCATGGAGGCAATATATACTTTTACTTTTACTTTACTTTTATCCGCCGCCTATACCCTTTTGGGTGTCGCGGGAAGAAAAAGACGTCTCTCTGCCACTAGCCGGAGAGCTTGGGTCAGGGGGATGCCGTGAGTTGTTAATGTTTCCCCGACTCCATCTATCTAGGTCTTTCTCTATCGCCCTCTAGCCTTGTTGCCATCGAACTTTTTTATGTAACCACGTTGTGCTGGGTAGTGTGTTAGTAATCGAATGAGATGTCCAAACCATTAAAATTTGATTCTTTAGTGTTGGATGTGATGCATGACATCATTTGCGCGCACCATTTCTCTGATTACTGTGTTTCTAATTTTGTCTCGCCTGGTTTTGTTTACTGCTTTTCTAAGGCATCGCATTTCACATGTTGTAATTCTTTGCTATAATGTCTTGTTCGTGGTCCATGCTTGGCTTTGATAGGTGAGTGTTGGGATGGTTTTGATCATTTTGAGTTTTGTTGTCATGAGGATGTTAGGATGTTTCAGTGGTGAAGTAAGCTGGTAACTAACATTATTGTCCTTTTGTACTCGTGTTTCAATTTCTCTGTTCAGTCACCCATCCTCTGTGAAAATACTTCCGAGGTACTTAAATTCTTGGACCTGTCTGAGACTGTTGTTGTTGATGTGTATCCTGAGTGGTTCTGGCTTTCTGCTAACTTTCGTTGTCTCTGTTTTGTTGATGTTGATCTTCATAGTTTTTACATTCTTCATTTAATCTGGTGGTGTGGTGTTGGAGACTTCGTTCATCTTTGTGTGCCTGGCTTTGGTCATCAGTGAAGAGATTTAATCTGGTGATGTGGTGTTGGAGACTTCCTTCATCTTTGTGTGCCTGGCTTTGGTCATCAGTGAAGAGTAATTCGTTGGGGCGTCTGGTTCTGTGTTGGCCTCTTTTGTAATTATATCCATATATGATAAATAGTAGTGATGATAGGACACAACCTTGTCTCACTCCGGATGTTATCTCGAACCATTCTGTGAGTCCCTCTGACGTTCTTACTGCACTTATGCTGTTCTCGTAAATGGCATGGATGTTATCTAGAAGTTGGCCTCTCACAGTGTAGTTTACGAGTTCTTTCCACAAATTGTTTCTGTTCAATCTGTCGAACGCTTTCTCGTGGTCGACATATACTATGTTTAGTTCCCTGTTATGTTTTATTACCCTTTCGAATATTTGTCGTAGGGCAAATATTACACCGGTGCATCCTTTTCCCTTTCTAAATCCCATTTGGGCCTCACTCAGAAATGGTTCAACTTTGTGTCTTGTTAGCCATTCCAATATCTTGGCGAACATCTTGCCCACATGGCTTAACAGTGAAATTTCTCTATACATTCCACAGTCTCTCTTGAGGCAATAGGCAATATATACGGGTGAATAATACACACACGTAGATAGATAGATAGATAGATAGATAGATAGACAGATAGATAGATAGATAGATAGATAGATAGATAGATAGATAGATAGATAGATAGACAGAAGGATGGATGGATGGATGGATGGATGGATTGATGAATGGATGGATGGAAGGATGGATGGATGGATGGACTGATGGATGGATGTGTGTGTGCGTGCGTGTGTGTATGTGTGTGTGTGTGTGTGTGTGTGTGTGTGTGTGTGTGTGTGTGTGTGTGTGTGTGTGTGTGTATGTACATATACTACACGTATGGACAGTTGGTCTGTCTTTGACTCTGCGTTTATGTATGTAATGTGTGTATTTATGCGTGTGTGTAGAGTGACAGATAGTGCTAATGTGCACAGGATTTTGGTACAACCTTTCAAACGTTAAATGGACACCCCTGAATATCTAGACTCAGCAGACGGACGGTTTGGACATGAGCCGTGGCCCGCTTTCTTACTCCCTTTATAAAACTTTACTATTGAAACAAGGTTTTTGGTTCCCGAAGTGGCCGACTGCTGCTCAGAGGGAAGTTGAACTCTTACAAGATGTTAGTTTTTAAAAAAGTAATTACTTATTTAACAAGCTCTGCAAAACGTTATTTGGATTTGACGATGACCCAAACAAGACACTTATCTATTCGATTCCGGATTATAATATTTGATCCTTGTCGATATTATATAAAACCTCATAGATTGTTTTGTGATTACACAGAAGGCCGTACTTCAAAGTTAATTACTGACGGGGATTATACGCCTGGAAACACAGTCTTTTGTTTGAGTCATTTTCTTAAAACTTGCTTCATTGTTTTGTCAAGATGAACACTACTCATGGTACTGAGTAGAATTTTGGAGCATTTGCTCGACACGAAAATTGACACTTTGAGAAGTACCTAAGCAGCTGTGAGTGTGTTCAGGTTTTATTTGATTTTTTTTTATACAGGCACGTGCACCAGGGTCTGTGATGTAGTGGTTAGGCGCGTTGCTATCGCACGCAAATGACGCGGGTTCGAATCAACGAGTGGGGACTTTTTTTGTTGAGTATCTCTGTCTTTTTGCTGGAATGTTGTCTCACCTTCAGCCAGGGGTGGCCCTGACAGGCAGAGTCGGAAGCTCGACTATTTTGCCGGTGGGCCGTAAAATTAACTACATTAAAGATAAGCATGTACTATAACTTTCCTTTTTAAAAAGAAGTTATTTATTAGCAGCTAATACAACCCTAAAACTTGCCAACTGGAATCTACTCCAAGTATTGTACGGTGACAGTATATATGGACTTTTTACCGGGAGGTCCCGCCTCTTATAACCTGAATTGTGTTGATGGTGAGCGTTAAACTTATACCATTTTTTTCTCTCTTCTGTCTCATTCCTAGGTGCTGATCTACCCAGTGACCAACGTGAGCTTCACACAGGCGTCATCGAAAGAGCTCCACGACATCCCCTTGTTCAACACGAGAGAGGCCATCCACATCTACTCTCTGGCCCTCGCCGGTATTTCTGACGCCCAAGACAACCCAAGGTTAAACCCGTGCATACGGAAAAATTTAGCTCAGTGTCCGCCTACGTTCATCCAAGTAGCAGAGCTCGACGGCTTAAAAGACCAAGGGATTGCTTTTGGGGAGCAGCTGAAAGAGGCTGGGGTTGCCACCAAAGTGAAGATGTACGAAGGGCTCCCACACATCTTTATGCTGTTGAGACAGGCTTTCCCGTCGCAGTTTGTCCGTGGCTGGCAAGATATTGCGGACTTCATTAAGTCTTTGTAATTCTGCAAAGTAAAATACGTTGTTATTCCCCCAAAAGGTATAAGCTAAAAACTGATGTGCCTTTTAACTCATCGGAAGTTTCCTCTTCTATTCTTTTCCTTTCTACTCTGAAAGGTAGAAAAGGCATATCAGAAGCTCATTCTATATGATCTGGCAAACCTTTTGTTTGCATTTAAAGTATGATATAGTGATCTGCAGTTACGTCTTTCTCTGAAATTTAAAAAAATCTTTT